TAGAATGTAGGAAATATGAAAAACATGCCACTTACATCTGACCAGTGAGGTAGCGCTTTTCCTCAGGTAATTTCATAAAGCTAAAAGAAGGGGTAGTTCAGAAGAGGATTTCTCCCATGTAAGATTGATTTCAATTAGTAACGGATAACATTGATATGGATATATATAACACAACTACTTTTTAGCTTCTGGGAATGATGCCATCTGTAAATAAAGAGAGCTAGTGGTAACAGAGAACTGTAAGGTCTGACTGGGGTAGCCAACAGCCTGCACTCTTGTGGGTCTGATTTGGAGGGCAATACCGTGCTTCAGAAGGTCAATTTGCTTGTACTCATTCTATTGGAGACCCATCAGCAACACATCAGACATACAGATGCAGCTTTCTGAACTACTAGGAATGGCTAGGTTGGGGACATGCTGTAGTCATAGATACAGTTAAAACCTAGGTATGTAATAACTTCACTTTGAAAAACCTAATGCATTGCTGAGAATCAGAACCAGAGACAAATCATTGATTCCTGGGCCAAGGACTGCTTTGCCTCCTAGGCAGAACACTCTCCCATACACAGAGATTTGTCCTGTAAGTCAACTAAGACATTTCTTAGGTCACAGATGAACAAACATATGAAGGCAAACCTCACAGCACTTTTAGTTAAGAGCTTTTTTTTCTTTACAATTTCTGTACAATATAACAAGAAGGCAGTTTGCAGAAATGTTGGACCTGCTTCTCTCTATCTCATTTAACTGGCTTCTGTACATAAATTACTCTGTGGAGTGCCTTTTTTTTTTTTTTATTGCACTGTAGTCTGTTGTAAATCTTGCTCTGAGTTGTTCAATAACACCTTTTTTGTTGTTGTTGTTTGAGTGAAGAATGAAGCCTAAGGCTTGATTCTGACTACAGATACGGCACATAGGTATTTATCCCTACATGCTTTGTTGTATCCTTATTGCACACACATGTAAGCCCCACATGTGCAGTTCATGCAAACGGGTACATTTCCTGTCAAGTTACCTCTTGACAGCAGCTCATTTAATAAAAAATGGATGCGCAAACCAAAAGTCAAAATCACACCTCTTTTTAAAGAATAGATGCTTGTCTCCATGCCTTTGAATTGCCTTTTTTGAGGTATGGAGAGAAGACTTGTCCCTTCACTATTCCATGATTTACCTTTTTGCTTAACCTTCCTTACTAACATACTAAAGTTCTAGGGTAAATTATTACAAACAACGATTACAAAAAATAGAAAACCATAACCAAGTTGGCATGGGGATCCAGCCCTGACAACTGGTGGGGAGGTACTTGCAAGCGTATTTTGAGCTAGCTACTTGAATTAATTTTGCTGGAATGAGACTGTCTTCTCAATATGACAGTTCTCAACACTTAATAGTTGTTTAATGTTCCCAATAGGCTCAGCTCTGCACTTTGTAAATCAGCAAAAAATGAAATTAAGGTCTCTATTTTACCACTTAAATTATTATCCTTTTTGCTCTGGCTTGTGTTTGTATGATGATAATGTATTTTCTCTAGAGGGACAAGGAGCAGACTGACCTGGAAAAGGAAGTCTTTTTTTACGTAGAACTGTCTTTGATCACTCACGAGACTTGTGCTCTGATCTAAGCTCACTGACATCAATGGAAGAAAGACTGCTATTGGCTTGGAGGTGAGGGCTGGCTCCTGTCCACACAGAGTCCATATATGCAAAAGCAGATGCTAAAAGATAAGTCAGAGTTACAGAAAAGATATTTTTCTTTACACAAGGTTAGATTTATAAAAACTTTTCACTTAATATTTTTTTCTTAGTCCCTGACACATGAAAGTCCAATTTCTACATTTATTGTTGCTGTTTATCTGAAGATAAACCTTGGATACAGAAAAGGGGAGACCTTGATGGATACTTTCCATAGCATGAAAATGGAAGGCCTCCTCCATAGTCTCTCCTGGTACACTGAAGAATAGGAAAAGGGAAAATACCCTCCCACCACGTGCATTTCCTGCAGGAAGAGCCATTTTGGAGAGGGGATTCAACACATTAGTGGTGGACACGGTCATCAAAGAAGTGGATAATCACAGAGTCTTTTTAAAAGAAACTTCTAATGGGATTGTCTCTCTTGGTGACAGTTTCCAGACAACATAAATCAGCACAATGAAATCCAGAGATGAAAAGTCAGTCAGTAAACAGTCCTGAAAAGAATCCTCCCCAGCTCACGTGGGGGAAAGGAGGCAACCTTCATTCTGACATGTATCAGTATCTTCAGAAAGGTCATTGGGAGATCACAATAGTTTTGTTGTATGCCATTCTGCTGTCTACTTCCTTGGTTGATTCAGTAACTGGTTTATATTGTAGATTCAGAAAATTCATCTCATTCAATTGTATGAGAAAATTTAATGAACAGTATTTGCCACTATCATCACATTTTATTTCAAACAACAGTCTCCAAGTGCTGTGAATATGACATTTATGCTTGGACCAGGCAACAGCACTGCTTTGGCCCAGACATTCTGGCCAATGTGCTTCAAATCAAGTATCTCTTTCTTACTCACTTAATGCTTCCTACAGAAGCACCACAGCTAAGCGAGACAGGCAGCAGTTACACAAAACTTCACTGCTGACTTGGTGTTCAGACTTTGATCTGACTTTCAGGCCCTTATTCCTTTTCACATCTCACATGTTATATGCTGACCTTCTCTACAATTTCAGCTAACAGACTTAGATCAATAAAAACAGGCGCAGGATTATGTATACCTAATGTCTCTATGAGGCTTATAAATATTTGCTCATTCAGAGCAAATTTAACATTGGACTGAAATGGCAATATTTTCATTGACATATCTGAGAGTAAAGCAGTTTATAAAGTGTTAAGTTTGGGGAAAGATGCCATAGAAAAGGAAAGTAAAATTATAAAAAAAAAAAAATAAAATAATAATAATTATTATTAAAAAATAATTTAAATTATTAAAATACTGAATGAGCAAAATTCATCCAATGAATAGATAACTGTGGCATTCCCACTACATGTATCCTTCCATGCCTTTTAGAGTAGAATTCAGAAACTGAAATGTATAACATCTTCCTTACAAACTTGAATATTTATGGCAAGTGTGCTCTATTTCACCCTGAATCACTTCTTCAGATGCTATTAAAAATCAGGAGTTTCCAACCACAGTCTTAGAATGAACTAGATTTTTTCATCCCTTTCTCCTTTCACTCCTTTCTCTGGTTGGGCTCGGAGGCTCTGGGCAGACTTTCCAGAGTTGCTAGGGACTGTGGCTCCAGCTGATGCTGGGTAACTAAGCAAGTTAAACAGAAAACATTCTTCCAGAGAACAAAGGTTGATGCAAGATTCTAGGTCTCTCATGCTTTGTCATAGTCAGAAGGAGTATGCAGGGGGAGAGGAAAGGAGAAATTGTGCAAAAAGCCATCTACTAAGAAAAGAATGTTTGATTTGGATCACAGGATGTGAGACTGGAGAATGTATTGCATAACTTTATGGCTTGTCCTTATTTGCAATGATTCAGTATCCGGCACTGCTCATCCCATTTCTAAAAATGGTATTGAAAAGATTCAGAGTATTCAGAGGTGATGGGAATAAGTGAGGAATGGGAGGAAAACACCTTTTCATCTTACAACAAATAGCAATGACTCTGTCTGCAGGTCATCCTACAGGTCATTGCAGATCTCTGATTCTGCCTCCATCCCCAGTACCCAAGGGACATTCACTAGGTCACGCCCCTTCTGTGCCGGAGGCTCATCTTCTCCATGCCAAATTTAAGATTACAATGATCCTTTCTCAGTAGCATTTATCTTATAACTGTCTAACAGGTAGCATGTATAGCTCCTAGTGTAGAGGACAAGAAACGAGGCAGGTGAAATGCTGTGGAGGGAGAACTGCCCCTCACCACAGCTGTTTCTGAAGACTTCCCTGTCAAGACAAGCCCCTGCTGGAAGAATCTTTATGGCCTTTTTGGAGGCCTGTTCCTGGGGTAGAGGTATTTCCCCCTACTCCAAAACAGGCACTTCCGGAACAGTCTTTTCTGTCAGGATTGTTTCATTATTAGCATGCTTCTTTCTTCCTACCTCTTCAAAGCAAGCAACATCCAGACTTGCAGGTCCTCACCCCAAATCAACCCTTCTCCCATTTCTGACCCTCCCTTGTGCTGATGTGGGAAAAACGGAGCCAAGACCCGTCAAGCCCTTTGCCATCATCTACCAGAGCTGCAGGTCCGGGACAGAACCCGGCTATCCGAGAGGGATTCACAACCAACCCGCAGACAAAAACTAGGCAACAAATGCCAAGCTCATTACTTCAGGGAGCCGCTCATCAAACTTTAATATATACCCAAACTCCTGTTATTTAAACAATGAAAGGGAGGCGGGTGAAAAACCCCAGCAGACCGCGGTGGTGCTGGGCGGGGTCAACCCGACCTCATTCATGGCTTTCTCTGTGTAGAGCGAAAGGGTTTACGTTCTCTCCCCCCCACCCCCGCCTCCCCCGTTTTAATTTTGGGATGGATTAAGACAAGGCTGGAGTCGGGAGAATTCCTCCCACCCGACTGCACCGGGTAAGCGACCGCTTTAGCTCCCGTAAGTATGCGGAGAGCTGCGATGCCTGGAAAAAAACCCCACGATTTCTTCATTGAGAAAAACAGCACTCCTGGCTCGCGCCCGGGAGCTGCTTTTAGGGGCCTTTACTCCATTATCATCCTGGCTGCTATTTATTAATTTGTTATGATATTACAATTAATTAGTTAACATCTCACATCGCAAGGACAGTCCCCCGAAAGGCTGGACCTGCCGGAGCTCAGTTGGCGGGGGTAGCCGCGGCGGGAGTCACACCGGTGCGCTCATGTGCAAGGGCCCGGGCCCGTCGGGCCGTCCCCTGAGGCCCGGCACAGCCAGGCAGCGCTGCGGAAGAACACCTCACCTTGTTTACCCCGAGCGCGGCCGGCTGCAGGGGGGAGGTGGCGGGGGCCGGGCCGGGGCGGGGCGCAGCTCGGTGGGCGGTGGGGCCGGGCCGGGCGGCGGGGCAGTCAGCCTGCGCGCTGGGCACCGTGCGGGCGTGTGGCGGCGGGCAGCGGGGCACGGAAGCAGCCAGCGTCCCCGCCACGTAAGTAGCTATTGATACAGTGGGGGAAAGCGATGCCTTACTGAAGGGGAGCGGCGCGGCCATCCCTTTCCTCCCCCGTCCTACCCCAAGGAGAAAAAAGAAAAGGCTCAAACAAAACCTGCTCGCTGTATTTTTTTTTTTAAACAATTTATTACAATTTATTTTGCACCCTTGTTCTTTCGCTTTTGCACTCCCAGCCCCTTTTTCGTCGTGCTGGTTTTCCTTTTCTTTGTGCATGAACTACGTTTAAACGCCGCGAAGGCAACGAGCCCCCAGACAGAAATCCCGCTGTGCTGGGGAAACGTGAGCGTGTGCCTTCTTCGCCCGTGGTTGCACTTTTTGTTCTGTCGAGGCGACCACGACAGCACGTTTCTTCTCGCCGCCGCGCAGCGGTGCGCGTAAGCCCCGCTGTCCCATCCCCGGCACGGCTCTGCCGAGCCCCCCGCCGCGCCGAGCGCGCTTTTGTCGGCCCGGCCGCTGCCCGCTCCAAGTTAAATGCTCCCTCGCTATTTCGCGGGGCATTTTTGGAGCGCCGCGGGCGCCAGCGGCGAGGCTTCCGCGCCATCTACAGCCCGGCCGTGGCAGCGCGGCGCAGCCTCGCCGTAGGAGAGAGAAAGGACGATCACCGTTGCGCGCAGCGCGTTACCTAACCTTTTGTTTTCGCCCGCGCTGCGCGCCCCGCGGGAGCCGCGGCGGCTGAGGCCCGGCCGCTCCGCTCCTTGCCGCGCGCTGCCGCCTCTGCCTTTCCTGCCGCAGCACCGGGCGCCGCTGCCCCGCCGCGCTGTTCCGCGCCTCTCCGCGCCCGGCCGCCGGCGGGAACAAAGGGCCGCGGGCTGAGCGCTCTCTCCCTGTGCCCAGGACGCGGCGCTGAGGCTGGTCGCCCGCCGCCGCCGCGCTCCCGCTCCCGCCCCCCCCCCCCCCCCCGCCACACAAAGGCAGCCGCAGCCGGACGGGCGAGGGACCGCGCTCCACGCCAGGGCTCCGGTGCAGCGTCTCGGCTGGTCTTCTCCATACTCATGAACATACAAAGGTCAACCCCTATCACGATAGCACGATATGGGAGACCGCGGAATAAAACCCAGGATTTCGAGGAGCTCTCGTCCATACGGTCCATCGAGCCAAGCCAGAGTTTTAGCCCGAATCTAGGCTCGCCGAGCCCGCCGGAGACCCCGAACTTGTCGCATTGCGTTTCTTGCATCGGGAAATACTTATTGTTGGAGCCTCTCGAGGGAGACCACGTTTTCCGAGCCGTACATCTGCACAGTGGCGAGGAGCTGGTTTGCAAGGTAATACCTCTCCTCCTTTCCTCCTTGTCCCCCCCCCCCCCCCCGGGTCAGCCTGCTGTCGCGTGTTGTTTTCCCGTGTCTTGCAGGAGGGCTGAGCACGGTCGTGTAGCTCAATTATTAAACAGTTGAGAAACAAAAGGAAGGGAGACAGGATTAAAGGCGCATCCTGTAACTTTTCCCTTGCTCTAGACAATGGCCACGTTATAGCGGTGGCCCGGAGCCAGTTCTGCCTCTTACCCGGGTGATAATGTTCTGGAAAGAGCCGTGCTTTTAAGTAGGTCTTAACGTGAGTTCAGGTAAAGAAAAAGCCTCATCTTCCCCACTCTTACTTTTCAAAATGGAGTAGGGAATCCCCAGCAAATTTTAAGGTGTTGGGACCTGCTGGCTTCCTCGATTTTTCCTGTCACTTGTTCGTGTGAGTTTTGCGATCCAAGAGGATGGAGAAGCAGGGGGAAATACTGCCGTCAGCCTTGTCTTGAAAGTGATAAAAAAAAACAAAACCCCAAAGCCACATCGAATTAATCAGCCCGAGCTCCCTCACCGTTGAGGTTGTTTGCAAACAGCATCCTCCCCCGTTGCACAACTGAGCAAGAATAAAATCTTCACACCTACGGTTTTTAGAAGAGCAGACAAAATAAGCTATCCCACTCTTTGTGGCCTGCCTGCCTTTTCTTGCCTCCTCCCAATTTGCTCCTACTAGTCAAAGGTGAGCGGGGGGGGGGGGGGGAAGAAACCCACAGGTGTGACCATCTGTGGAGGGATGTGCTTGTCTTTCTGGGCTGAGGGAGTATTTTCCTTTGTTCCTAAATTGTGACTCTCATTGTCTGTAGTGAGCCAGACTTATGCCTAGCAAACTGAGGCACTACCCAGTAGTAGTTCTTTATAACTATGTAACAAATTGCAACCTTGCAACGCACGCTGCATTATTTGTATTGTTCCCAGAATATGGAATTATGCCATTTGGCTGCCTTTGGCAAATTTCTAGTGTCAAACTAACTGCAAACCAGAAAAGTACACATATTACAGTTTATTTATATTCCATGGATTAACGATGGTATTTCTGTTTCATACTTTCTCATACTTGAGTCATAAGAAGTTATAGACTAGCCTGTAACAGGGAAGTGAAAATAATTGCTTCTGTTTGCTGTTTGTAAGGATTGGAGTTCAGAGTTCAATTTAAATATGTTTAGTTGATTGAGTTATAAAACCTGATGTTAAGGCAACCTAGGACTTTGTGTGATTATTTAGGGGGGAAAAAAGGGGCTGTGACTTTGCAAAAGGACCAGTATTGCATGCTGAACTGAATGCTTTGTTACTAAACTGAAACAGAACATGAGAATTTCCAGAATGAAAGCTCTGCTTGGTGCAGTAGTACAGTGCTGCACTCTAGGACATTGGCATCTTTTCATGAATAAATAGATCCCACAAAGCTGCTGCTCTGCATGAAATTATAGGTGAACTTGCATAGCAAATAGTAAAGCGGGGGCTATGCTCTTCTTTGTTTCCTGTTTGGCTTGCAGGATTAAGGCACTGTTTGATGACAGTATGAACAAGTATTAACTGCAGCTCACAAAGAGTGGACTTAATTTTTTTCCTTCCCTTTAAGCTGTACATTTTTTAGCTGATCCTGACAGCTGAATAGTATCAATTTTTCCATATGTGCAAGGCACTACTTCTAGCTGTGCTCCAAAAATATGATCTTAGCCTGAATTTCTAGTTTGAATATGCAGTTGTCAGTCCTGAACTCAGTATAATGCATGCTTTAAAATGCCTGCAGTATCAAGACTACTATTTGTCAAGTAGCCTTCCGGCTAAGAAACCTGCTATCTGGTATCTTATTGAAGATGCTCTTAGAGATTGCTTGCAGAAACATTGGTTTGGATAACAAACACATGCTGATGATTCTCAAGATTCATTTGGCTGCACCCACTGACTGTACAGATGCCGTTATTTGCTTCAAGGCTCTGTGGCATCCAAACAATGGTAACTTCTCACTTCCAGTTCCCAGCAACAACTAAATCAAACTGTAGCTTATTGAACATCTGCTGAATTGAGGTCAGGGATCTTAAAAGTAGGATACAAAGAAGCCCTTTATAAAAGGTATTCTAGACTGTAGCAGTATGATAGCCCTTCCCATCTCCCCACTTTCAAGCGTAGTACTGGTATATGTTGAGACTTACTTATTTAACATAGTCTGAGAATCGCAAAATGTAACTAATTTTTATCAGAATTTTGGAAAGGCTGTATTTTTTTTATTTTATTTTTATATGAGGGTTCAAGCTACATGAACATCCCTGTGTAAATTTTATAACACCCAGTTTGTGGAGGAGCCATTCATTTACAGTGTAGTAGTTACGAGTTTTGAGATCCAAATGTCAATGAATTCTCTGGAATGAATTACACACCAGGGGTCTTAGCAACACCCCCTCACCACCCTGGTTCTGCTTCCCTGGCACACCATGTCACCAGAATGCCTCAGTGCTAATCTACCTCCTGTAAAATGTGTTGGATCTGTTCAGCAGCCTGCATTTAAGGTTGGTTTTGTCTGTGCTGGAGTATAGCAGCACGGGTTTGGGGTGGGGAGAAAGAGATGCATGAGAAGGGGGTGTCCCTCCCTAGTTTCTTGGGGTTTGAGTCCTTTTCTGCAGAAGGAGTTTATTAGGATTGTCGTCTGAAGCATTAAATGACAGGTTTTGAAGCCTCAGGTAAATCTTGATTGAAGTGTATCTCGCTCAGTTTTGAATTCTTTTTAAAAGCTTTAAAGAAAGCTGGGAGATTTGCTTCTTGGAAAGGATACAAATACCTGCTATTGGAATACAAATACTAGAAGGAAAACAGTTGCAGCTTAAACCAGTTGGTTAGAAACCTATACCGGTTCTTCATTTTTTATATTCAGTTAGAATAACACTTAACTACCTTAAATTCTTTTTACAAAAGTAATAAAACACCTGCGAGTAAGTTACATATTAATGGAATTTCTGTGCTAGTGGAAATGCTAATCCCTTTCTTTGTAATACCTCTGCATCAGGTACAATTAAAAATAAAAATCACTCCAGTCAATACTTTGCTTATATTCTCTTTCAGCACACTGAGTTCTGTTATTCTCAATGAAGTCTTTCTTGTAATGTGGGCATTTCTCAATTGACTCAAATACTGATTCATTCATCACCACTAGATTATAGTAACTTTTTATATTTGGGTTTCCCAGCAGCTTTTTAAATTCTTACTGCTCATTCATAAGATCAGTGATAACATGCTTACTAGTAAAGGGACACTCTGCTTTTAATAGTGCACTTGATTAAAATGCAGGGAGTTCAGAGTGGTTTTGTCTTTGCCTTTTGAAGGATATTTGTCTGCACTCCAACAGGCAGGGCTATTTCCTGGTTGTCCTTCTGATCTTATAAACAGCCATTGTAAAACTGAGACTTTGAAAGTGAAAGTGACTCTGCTGTTTGTCAGAGATGAAAGAAAGGCAGGAAGTAAGTATGAATAGCAATAGATGATATTTTAAACTTGAAAATCCTTAAGGCTTTAATGGGTTAATAAAATCAAGACAGAGGCATGTGTATTGGTGTGGATTTAATACGACGGCTTCTCTCAGTACAAAGCTACTGGCTGTGTTCTCTATGAGTTTATTTGGATGGTAAATAGAAGTTAAACATGTTTACTTCTCAGTACTGCCCTTCTATGTTGCTGGTCTTCACAACTTAATTTAGATTACATTCTAAATTTGATCAGTTATTAGCTAGTGAAACTATTCCTGCTACAAGTTTTGAAGACTAGCCTGTCAAGGTTACGCATATATTCTGTGTAGGGTTGTATAGTCTATTTTGTCTTGTCCTCAGTGCTGTGAGTTTGTGACATCCTGTTTACATAAGTGCAGCTTCAGCAGCAGCATAAATTGTACTTGGAGATGGTTCTGTTAATAGAATTAGACGTACCATAACTTCGCTGTCCTTCATGTCACTAACCCTGGCTTTGCTGTCATTGTTTCTGCAGGTGTTTGATATTGGCTGCTACCAGGAGTTATTAGCACCATGTTTTTGTCTGCCTGCGCATAAAAATATCAACCAAATTACTGAAATAATTCTTGGGGAGACAAAAGCGTATGTGTTCTTTGAAAGGAGCTATGGGGACATGCATTCGTTTGTTCGTACCTGCAAGAAGCTTAAAGAAGAGGAGGCAGCCAAACTCTTCTATCAAATAGCTTCTGCTGTTGCACACTGCCATGATGGTGGACTGGTACTGCGAGATCTCAAGCTGCGAAAGTTTATTTTCAAGGATGAAGAAAGGTAAGAGTCTCCCTTAAGGTACAGGTGGGGGTGCCTGAGGTCAGATATTCAGGCTTGCAGGATGCTGTGCACTTTGTGTGCCAGGAATGATGATATGGCAACAACAGGGTGTTACACTTTGGGTTGCAGAGGAAACTAAACAATCATGGGATGGATGTGCCATTTTATCTTCTGACTTAGGCTTTGGAATAAAGCAAGTATAGAGTGCTGTTGCACCTGTGTCTGAGGAGCACCCTCATTCCTAAGGAGCAGATGTCTGCTTGAGGAAGGCTCTGCATAGATATCTGGTGTAAGAGCTCTGTTATTGTAAATGCTGCTGGTATTTAAAGGGGAAAGGTGCAAAAGATCCAGTATGTTAAAAAAGGTTGTAGACTTGAATGGCTCATTCCAGTAAGGAGGCACAAAGAGGAAGAGCAGCCAAGTGGATAATGTCAACACAGGTTGGAGGGAAGGACCACCAGTGACTGCTTTGTGGACAGGTTCTTGTTTTCTGCGCTGGAAGAGTCTGGAGGCTGCTTCAGGCAATAGGCTGATCTATTATATGATCATAGTAAAACTAAAACTGCCTTTCTGTGTGAGTGCCTGTTTGTATTATCAAAGCTATTGTGGTACTTGGGAAACTACCCTTTTATCTCCTCCCTGCACACCCTCCTCTCAGTAATTGGGTGGTAATGATTTGGGGAAGTAGCATGGAAAAAAATGATGCTGGAAGCTCTAGGCATATTGGTGAAGTGCTCTTTCTGATACTGAGCTATAGCTATAATCTTGTACCTGTGGAAACTTCCAATCTTTTTCCTTGTTGTTACCTGTTTATTTTATGTCGTATATTTGCTTGCAACTTCCACATAAGGCACCAGAGTAATAAACACTGCCAGAGTCACTGCCACTGTCAGGCTTTGACAGTGGAACTAAATGGAAGATGACCATTATGAAAGAAAAATGAACTAAATAGGGGCAGAGCCTGCCTTTGTGCTTCTTCCTGCCTTGGTAGAGGATTGGGAGATGTTTTCCCCTTTTAGTTAAATCCTATAAACTTTCTGAAAGCTTGTTCAAACTGTTGCTGAAATGAAATGGATGTTCTGAGATCTTCGTTAAAAAAAAAAAACAGTGCATTATCGATTCCATTTGGGACTGTTTTGGGGAAGTTATAAGCAACAGCAAAGGTACAGAAGTTTTCTGTAGGGTCAGTAAGTCTGTGATCTGAGAGTTAGAAAATGTTAACACACAATTCAGTCAGGAAGGAGAAGTTCCTGGCCTTAAAATAAAAATGACAATCATCTATACTGTTTATCTCTACTTCATTTTATTACAAGCTGAGTTTTTCAAAATAAACTCCTTTTAATCTCTTTACAAATTGAAAATAAAAGACATTTTCACTTCTTAGTTCAGGCAATTCTCTATGAAGCAAATAGCTATTCCTTGGTTTTCTGCAATGGGCTAATATATATGATTACACTTTCTTTCTCTTCAAATAAAAAACCCTAAAGTGAAACTAGTTTAATGTCCATTCAGAGAGAAATGCAAAGCAGATAGATGTAAACTGCACTTTCACAACTTAAAGTTTATTAATTAAACACCATTATAGCACCTCTGATGCAGATAAGAAGGAAACTTGCACAAAATAGTTGAGGTGGGCATTGTTTTCTGTTGTAGCTGATAGTCCTAATGTTAAAATGGATTTTTTTTTTTTTTTTCCTCTCCTGGGGGTATATATAAACTTGTGTGGTTTTCCATGAAGGACAGGATTTGGAAAAGCTGCTCCAAGTGGACAAGTGGAAGCAGTGTGAACCCAGGGCAGTGCAGTGAGAGCAGACATGGGCCTGTGCTGAATACTTTTGAACTCCTACTCTGCTGCTCGCGAGGAACTGAATGCAGCAGGAGGCACAGGGCCAAATCCTTTAGCCACCCAAGAAGAGTGGTGCATACTGTAATAGCAGTGTTTGCTTTTATGAATGTTTTTAACATAACTGTCCTCTGCAAAATCACAGTTACTCACTTTTGAACAGTGTCTTATACAATAATTCACTTTAAAGGTCAGATAAGACTTGCTGGTTATTTTTAAGATAATCATAATGTGGTTTTCTTCTGGATGTAATGTTGATTTGTAAGTACTGTGGTATTATAATCCTTCTTCTGCTAAATAAACAGAGATGAAATAGTGTGAGATAGAAATAGAACGAGAGACTGTGTTTTTTTCACATGCTCTGATCATCAGGCTGTAATCAGTCATCACTTTCAATCTGATGCTATATTTATGCTGAAGAATCTGCCTGATCCTTCTGGGTTCACAAAGGTGTGTGCGTTGCTTGCACCCTTCCAAGCTCATGTTCTCTGAGGCTGCTGGTTTTGGTGAGGATGCTCATGTGCTGAGCAGCCTGCCTTTCAGAAGCTGCCATCAGTGGCAGTGCCTGGGAATATGACGATATGCATGATCTCTTCTCATTGACACCAGTAATGAACCAAGGAGGAAAGAGAGAGGTGAAAATGATGTTTTGAGAAATATATATGAACTCCACTGATGTGTGTTGCCTGTTCAGCCAAGCTCTTTCTTAGTTGTTCTTTCCCTGTTTCTTGAAGTTTTCTTTTTTGTTTGTTTTTTTTTTCCCCTGCAGTTCACTTTAAGTACCCACTGATTTGAAACTTTCTCTTTTTGAATACTCACAGCTTTTTTTGGTAGAAAGAAAGATGGGAAATCCAGCATGCAGGCAACACATGAATGGAAAACTCACTTCTTTTATTTTTTTTTTTTTTTTTTTTTTAGTAAGATACTCATCTGCTCTTATCTGAGAGCTGTCAGACTGGAGAAGCCAGAGAGAAAGTGAAGGATATAAGGAAGCAGTTCCATTTGTTTAAAAATAAATCAGTTAAAGCATTTCTTCGTACATACTCTTTCAATTGATCCCAGTGATATCCTGGTAGCTTGAAATGAAATCGGAGCTCCTGAAGTTTTGCACAGATGGGTGCATACAGCATTGAAGTTCTTTCCACCCCATTCATATTATCTAAATTACAGCTGGAATTTGCAAAGATTCAGGCTTCTGATCTAGCAGCATCATGAGTGCTCTGTGCTCCTACTCAGGTCACTGCTAAGAATGCATGTTATTTGGATGTTGCAAATTGCAGTGCCTTGAGATGTCTGTAATGAACTGGGAGGTAGGAAGGTGGAAGAAAGTAATGTTGGAGCCTCGTAGTGTTGAGCATTTAGTAGGGTTCCTAATCTTACTGGTTATGTTCTCTTAATGTGCTGAATCAAAGGTAGACTGTGATGGTGTGCTGCCTCTTACTACTGCATGTGTAAATACATCAGCACTTAAAATGAAATAAATTCCATAGTGCGGAAACAAGCAAAACCAATTTGTCTGTGTTTCAAGGTACTTTATCTATAGCTTCTTTTAGTCCTGAACTGCAGAAATTTTGAAGGTAGGATAATTTGCATTCCATTAAAATGATGTGTGCTGTTGCCAAGCACCTAAGGTCTTTTTTTTTTTTTCGGTGTTTTTTTTTTTTTTTTTTTTCTTCGTGTAAAAGAAGGTTAGGGTTAAGGTTGTGTTTTGGGGGAGGAGGTGTGTCTGTGGTTCTATTTGTCAACTATAGGTGAAATGGCCAGTCTTCTAGTACTACAGTTTCATAGTTAAGCTCCTTAAATCTGGAGCTGATCTTGATGAAGCAGAACTTCTAAGACATTACAGCATGGCTGGAAATGTTTTGTAAGACTGGGTTCACAAGCAGCAGCACATCCATTAAATGAGGGCAGTGACTTTCAGAGAACTGAAAATACAGAAAATGCCATGCTGGGTCTCACCAGACTTTCTAAAGTACCTATAAGATTCTTGAATACTTTAAAAATTGGGTTCTTTAACTTCAAAATAAAACTTGAATCTGAAAGAGTGTAGATGAGCTAAATAAAACACATTTTTTTCTGTGTTTTCTGCTTCCATCCCTGCTGGTAGCTCTTTCTTGTCCTGGATATTAAGCCAGGTCAGTGCTAATGTTGTGGGGCTCTTGCCTATAATTCTTTTGCTGTGTTTCATGTCATGATATTTACAGTTTTCCTTCTACAGGCTGTCTTTATAGTAGGCCCTTGGGCAGACTGACTGTGCCCTTCTCCTAGCTCTTGTCCCACAACCATGTTGCAAAATGGACAAGATTTTTTGGATTGTTCTAAAAATAGCACTATACATAGTTTATAGCCAATAAAACAGTTCATTGGTCTGATACATAGCAGATGCTTTGAGAAAGAGCCACCTCAAATATCTCAGAATTAAATCAAGCATTTCTGTGTTGATTGTTTCAGTGGTTTTCTTAATCCAAGAACATTTCTGCTGTCAGGGAATTATTAATTTCTTTAGTGCATTTTTAAGCCTTTAATTATATTAAAATATTAGCTGTCATAATATTTGAAGCTTAAAGACCTTGCACATTTGTCATACTTGTTGAAGGGAAAATTAAAATAATTTTGGTATTTGGATATTGTAATTTTCCTGTATTCTTTGAGTAAATATGAGGCAGGTGGGATCCAATAAATGGAGTTTGACACTTTTTGCTCTGCACCAGGGGAATGCAGGTAGTACAGTACAGTAATTTAGAAAGCCTGTTTTAGCACAACATATTTATTTACTTCTCTTTTTATTATTTTTTTTTCCTCTAAAGTTTCTCACTTTTGAGTGGATGATGCTTTAAGATGACCTAGTTATGTTGTTTGCAGTTCTAATGATACATACCTGATCCCACAAATAAATGTAGGATGCATCTACCAACCTTTTCTGAAGTAAACCCTTAATTTTCTTGTAGTTGGTAGTAATTTTCCTCCCCAGCATTTATCAAACTGTAATACCATCAGCTACTTTTCCCTGTGGTGTTAGAATGTGCTGTTTTGCTTACAATTCCACAGTGAACAGGTAAGTTAATTCTTTCCAAGTCCTAGAAAGAATCCTAAAATGGAAGAAAATCAAACAAAATAGAAGTGCTCTTTGAATACCAGCAGATTTAGAAATAAAACC